AGTCCTCCACTTGAAGGCGGGCCGCGCCACAGTAATCAGTAGTGCGAGGAAAGAAGCAGCGCATCATCCTCTTGCCAGAGGGTGGAATTTTAAGTGTGTCTTGTTCCAATTGTAGTACAAGATCAGTAATGCAATAAAAGCCAACGATTCATGTGTAAACTCTAACGATCAGGGTGCTTAGTTGATGTGACGTTGATCCATGTGCGTCCTTTTCCGATTTTGAAGTTTATTTCCAGCATGAATGTGTCAGTTGGGATCACTACAGACAACAGAGAAATTTTCACGCACGAAGATTCTATTTCTAAAGAAAAGTAAACTCACGAAAACTACACTCTATGGACAGAAGTACCCTTTCTTCCATGAAACGAGAAGAGCGTCGGGTGCAGCCCATACACCACAAGTGACGACGGCCTCCACAAAATGTAAATGTTTTCTGCCAATGAAAGAACAGTAATTAACTATCATTTACCGCAAATCAGCTATGGCTATGAACCACCAGGGGCGGTATTCAATCCTTCCCCCAGGGGTTGGGGGACGGAAATCCCTTTAAATTTATTTGTTTTTAACGATGTAGTTTCTTCATTTTCAATGCATGCTTACTGTGACATAAATACATACATAAATCAGTTGGGAAGACGGAGAAAATTTAAAGGGTTTTTCGTCCCCCAACCCCTAGGGGAAGGATTGAATACCGCCCCAGATTTACTTGGAGGCCGTCGTCACTTGCGGTGTGTGGTCTGCACCTGACGCTCTTCTCGTTTTTTTAAAAGGGAGATTAATCACGCGGAGCCAAAGGTGGGGCATGGAATGTTCCGATCAATGTACAATACTTGTTGCACAGCCTAAAGTAATCGTCCACGGCAAATTTATGATCCTATCTCACCCATAAATCACGGCTTGAAACCCATCGTCAACGAGGAACGAAAAGACGAAAAATGCGTTTTTGGTAAACAATTCGAAAAACCGGAAGGACTGCTACGCGTTCAAATTCCCGCCGTACATCTGTCACAAATGTTGGCGACGGGAACGATTCCACTTGGTTCTCGGAGTGCCTTCACTAGAAACTCTTTTTGGCCTTTCCACCTATGGCAATAAATTTCTCTTTTCTACTGCATCCTATTTTTTCGATCTTTTTGCTTCTATTCTCAAACGCTGCAACATGATTCTTTCAAGCCGTCGCCTGATATGTACGTGCCCGTCTCAAGGGGCACTTCTTCCCACGCGTTCCCTTCCCCCGCCCATCTACCCGCTACCGTCCCCAGAGTGTGGTTTTCGTAGGTTTGTTTCTCTTCAGAAACTGAATCTTTTTGCGTGAAACTTTGTACTTTGTCCCTAGTGATCACAACTAACGTATTCATGTTGGGAAATATTGCAAGAATTTTTCGTGATCGATTTTTTTAAACTGTCCAAAAAGAAGAGGGGAGGAAAAAGAAGAGTCTCATTTGCTTTTCGATTTTTAGGCTCTGTCAAAGGCGAAGAGGTCGAAACGTAAGCCCAGCAAATGCGCTGCAATCTTTCTTAAGCTGGTGTCAGAGTTTGCGATTCGACCCATGATTCGCGCGAGTCGCGCGACGGATAGCATGAA